TCTTACACAAGAACTGGTTCTATCTGGTGATATGTATCCTATTAAATAGATTTTTTTGACAGGTTTTATTGACTGCCCACAATGTCCACATTGAAGAGATTTTCCTGCATTTCCTGTTTTGTTTGGCATCTATCATGTGAACAGAAAGTGAGATAATCTACCTAAGTGGAACCCAGAAGAGCAGGCACAAATTCCTGGCAGAGGCTTTAAATCTCCTTCATGATCCTAGAATTTCAATGGGGGATATTTCCTTTAAAGTGGTACTAAAACCTAAACTTTTACCTTAATGCATTCCTTGCACTGAGTTAAAAAATTTTATGTAGCAGTATGCCCCCTCACCCCTCCCTTATACTTTCCTGAGCTCTCATTTGATTCAGCTCTGTGCTCGTCTGTAGTGGCTCTCTCCTCTCACAGTCTTTTCTGAGACAGTGGAAGACATTGGCTTTTGCTGCTGTTACTCAAATCCTGTGACAAGGGGGAGTGGGGCCAGGGCCAAGCTGTGCTGTCTGTGTCTATGGATGCAGGCAGCATGACTTGGGAGCGAGCCTGCAGGTGTGCCCCATAGCAAGTGGAACTCTAGTGGGGGACCTGATAAGAGGAGGTTTGGAGCCACTCTGTGCATTACCATTGCACAAAGCAGGTAAGTATAAATGTATTTGTAATTAGGAAAATAAATACATTTACAATCACTTTAATTATTATTATTATTATACAGGATTTATATAGCGCCAACAGTTGCTCAGCACTTTACAATATAAAAGGAGACAATACAGCAACAATACAGTTCAATACAAGAGGATTAGGAGGGCCCTGCTCATTGGAGCTTACAATCTAATTTACAATTTTGTCTCACATACGTCAGACTAGAATTAAAGAGTAGTTCTTTTGTATGTCTTCAATCTGACACAATCTTAAATTGTGACACTATCTAGAATAGAAGTGAGGAAAACACCTTGGACCAGGAATCCAAACAGCAATAAAAAAACAGATACAGGTTCTAGCCTTGGGACTGGTCTTTAAAAAATGTATTGAAAAAACAAAAAAAAAAAAACAGCAGCTCCCTGAAAAACAAACAATTTACTTTGCCATTCCACTGCCCCCACTGGCAAACTTTCTTTGAAAAAATACGCTTGTGGAAGAACGTTCACTATCTGACACAAATCTGGTAGTGCTAGATGCCTGGTTCACCTTTACACTCCGTGGTTACTTCCATCAGCCTCATTGTCAAAACTGTGTCCTGCAGTGACATATGGGCAAGTAGATGAAACCACAGAACACAGTAGGGGTTGTGTGCCGAATTCAGAAGATTTTTCCGCAAGCATCCCTCAATGAATAAAAGTTCGGCAGCGCAGGCAGCAGGACAGGTATGTATCATTTGCCTTGCAAAACTGCTGTTTTATTTTGTTAAAAATCATGGCATAGTCACTTTAATGGCATCTTACAAAGTCTGACAAATGATTTTTTCCCCAAGAGTTCAAAGGTTGTAATAATATTTCCACATCAAAAAGTATAGATGAATCCAGGGAACATTTTATTTTTCCATGTTGCTTCACTTTCCATTTCTGATTATTAAAACATATCTAAAAATGATTCACTCAGTCTCTTGATGGACATTAAAATGTATCTGTACCTTTAATGCATTAACCTTTGGTTCACATCTATGTGTTTTTTAGTGCGTTTTGCAGAAACACAGTACAGTCCATGTAACATGGTTTCCTATGGATCTAGTTTACATCTGTGCATTTTAAGCCGGTGCGTTTTTTGGAAAAGGTCAGGGACTTTTTTTCCCGCAGCAGATTGCATTTTGCGTGTAATAGATTTCAATGGATCCGCACTAAAAATGTCAGTGTTGTGTTTTTAATGCGTTTTACACAGTTACATAGTTAGTTTGGCTGAAAAAAGACAAAAGTCCATCCAGTTCAACCATACAAAAAAAAAGTTATAATCCTATACCCACAGTTGATCTAGAGCAGTGGTCGGCAAGCCGCGGCTCGCGAGCCACATGCGGCTCTTTACAAACTTAAATGCGGCTCTTCTGTGTGCCGGCCGCCCGCTCCCCTCCCTCCTCTCGGTCGGCCGCCCCCTCCCCTCCCTCCTCTCGGGTGGCCGCCCCCTCCCCTCCCTCCTCTCGGGCGGCCGCCCCCCCCTCCCTCCTCTCGGGCGGCCGCCCCAAAAGTCAGGACTCTGCAGCTGTCAGGATGTAGGCAGCGTGACGAACTCCTCTCCTCTCACAGTCCGCCCTGAAGACCAGAACGGCGCGGGAACACGGCGAGAGGAACGCGGGGAGCAAAGGTAAGTGAATTGACACAGGGGGGACTTACTATAGGGGGGATGAATTACTATATAGGGAATGAATTACTATATGGGGGACTTACTATATGGGGATGAATTACTATGGGGGATGAATTACTATATGGGGGATGAATTACTATATGGGGGATGAATTACTATGGGGGATGAATTACTATGGGGGATGAATTACTATGGGGGATGAATTACTATATGGGGGATGAATTACTATATGGGGGATGAATTACTATGGGGGATGAATTACTATGGGGGGTGAATTACTATATGGGAGATATATTTTCAGTTTTAAAAATGTGGCTCTCAAAATAAATTTCAATCGTGGTTTTGGCGAGATTTGGCTCAGTTGAAAAAAAAGGTTGCCCACCACTGATCTAGAGGAAGCTAAAAAACCCAGCAGAGCATGATCCAAATTGCTCCTGCAGGGAAAAAAATTCCTTCCTGATCCCCTGAGAGGCAATCAGATATTGCCTGGATCAACTTTACCTATAAATGTTAGTATCCAGTTATATTCTGTGTATCTAAGAAAGAATCCAGGCCTTTTTTAACCACTTGCCTACCAAGCACTTACAGTAATTACAGATTAGACATTCTTATATTATGTCAACAAAAGTTAATTTTATTTCCATCATTTACACTTTCAAAATAACAGAAAACAAAAAAATGGCGTCTGCAAAAGTTTGGGCACCCAGAATGCATGCACTGCCCCCTTTGCCAAGCTGAGATCTGCCAGTGTCATGGATTGTTCTCAATCATCGTCTGGGAAGACCAGGTGATGTCAATCTCAAAGGTTTTAAATGCCCAGACTCACCTTGCCCCAACAATCAGCACCATGGGTTCTTCTAAGCAGTTGTCTAGAAAACTGAAACTGAAAATAGTTGACGCTCACAAAGCTGGAGAAGGCTATAAGAAGATAGCAAAGCGTTTTCAGATGTCAATATCCTCTGTTCGGAATGTAATTAAAAAATGGCAGTCATCAGGAACAGTGGAAGTTAAAGCAAGATCTGGATGTCCAAGAAAAATATCAGACAGAACAGCTCACAGGATTGTGAGTAAAACAATTCAAAACCCAGTTTGACTGCATGATCCCTCCAGAAAGATCTGGCAGACACTGGAGTTGTGGTACACTATTCCACTATAAAGAGATACTTGTACAAATATGGTCTTCATGGAAGAGTCATCAGAAGAAACCTCTTCTACGTCTTCACCACAAAAATCATCGTTTGAACTTTGCAAAATGAACATATAGACAAGCCTGATGCATTTTGGAAACAAGTTCTGTGGACCGATGAGGTTAAAATTGAACTTTTTGGCAGGAATGAGCAAAGGTACGTTTGGAGAAGGGGCACAGAATTTAATGAAAAGAACCTCTGTCCAACTGTTAAGCATTGGGTTGAATCAATCATGCTTTGGGGTTGTGTTGCAGCCAGTGGCACAGGGAACATCTCACGAGTAGAAGGAAAAATGGATTCAATAAAATTTCAGCAAATTTTGGAAGGTAACTTGATGCCATCTGTGAAAAAGCTGAAGTTAAAGAGAGGATGGCTTCTACAAATGGATAATGATCCTAAACACACACCTCGAAATCCACAGGGGATTACATCAAGAGGCATAAACTGAAGGTTTTGCCATGGCCTTCACAATCTCCTGACCTCAACATAATTGAAAATCTATGGATAGACCTTAAAAGAGCAGTGCGTGACAGACAGCCCAGAAATCTCAAAGAACTGGAAGACTTTTGTAAGGAAGAATGGGCAAAGATACCTCAAACAAGAATTGAAAGACTCTTGGCTGGCTACAAAAAGCGTTTACAAGCTGTGATACTTGCCAAAGGGGGCAGTACAAGATATTAACTCTGCAGGGTGCCCAAACTTTTGCAGACGCCATTTTTTTGTTTTCTGTTATTTTGAAAGTGTAAATGATGGAAATAAAATCTAACTTTTGTTGACATATTATAAGAATGTCTAATCTGTAATTTGATGCCTTTTGGAGATTTTTCCATCTTTCCTTGGCTTCTTTATGCACATTAATACAAATTTTTAGCTGGGGTGCCCAAACTTTCGATCCCCACTGTATACCCCCTTTCTACCCAGGCCAATTTTCAGCTTTCAGCGCTGTTGCACTTTCAGTGACAATTGCGCAGTCATGCAACACTGCACCCATCTAAAATTTTTATCATTTTTTCCGCACAAATAGAGCTTTCTTTTGGTGATATGTACTCGCCGCTGGGTGTTTTATTTTTTCCCGCTATAAAAAAAAAACAAACATTCTGAAAAAAATGTTTTTCGTTTGTTTCTATTATAAAATTTTGTAAACAGGTAATTTTTCTTCTTCACTGATGTGCGTTGATGAGGCTGCACTGATGGGCACTGCTAGGCAGCACTGACAGGCACTGATAGGCGGCACTGATAGGTGGCATTGATGAGCTGGCACTGATATGCAACAATGATGGGCACTGATAGACGGCACTGACTGGTGGCACTGACTGATGGCACTGCTAGGCACTGATGGGTGGCACTGCTGGGCACAGGTGGGGTGGCACTGATGGGCACAGGTGGGGGGCACTTCTGGGCACTTGTTGGCGGCACTGCTGGGCACTTGAGGGCGGCACTGCTGGGTGGCACTGCTGGGCACCGATCATCAGGGCACTGATCATCAGTGCCCTGATGATCTGTGCCGATCCCTCCTCTGACAATTGCCGGTTATCGGCAGTACTTTCCTCACACTGTGACAGCTTGAGGAAAGTGCAGCCGATAACTGGCAACTGCATTTACCAGTTATGTGCTGTGTTATTGGACACGGCTGATCACATGGAAAAAGGCCGCTATGATTGGCCTTTTACCACATCACGTGATCAGTTCTGTCCGTAGGACACAGTGATCATAGAGATCGCCGGGTGCACGTCCCCGGGGGTGTGCGCCTGGAGGGCGCATTCTAGGAGAACATCATATGACACCCTCCCAGAACTGGCCAGCCACAGTGAAGCCATCATTCAGCTATCTGCAGTCGGCAAGTGGTTAAAGCAATCCACTGAGCTGGCCAGAACCAACTCTTGAGGGAGTCTATTCCACATTTTCACAGCTCTTACTGTGAAGAAACCTGTGGGGTTTGCGGAGTTTTTTTTGGCTAATAGGAAAGTATGACAGTTCTGTTCATGTACTGCAACTTTGATGTAACTTTACTCTCTCTGGCACTCAAGTAGCACCAAAGTAGAATCAAAGTCGCATCATAGTAGTGCAGGAACCTTTTAGTGTCTGAAGTCGCATGTTAGGGTTAAGGGCTAGGGTTAGGATTAAATGTTATGGTTAGCTGTAATTATTAGGGCTAGAATTAACCCTAACAATTACCGCTAACCCTAACGATTGCAGCTAACCCCAATTAACAATTACCGCTAACCCTAATGATTGCAGCTAACCCTAACAATTACCGCTAACCCTATCGATTGCAGCTAACCCTAACAATTACCCTAACTAACCCCTAACGATTGCAGCTAACCCTAACAATTACCGCTAACCCTAACGATTGCAGCTAACCCTAACAATTACCGCTAACCCTAACGATTGCAGCTAACCCTAACAATTACCGCTAACCCTATCGATTGCAGCTAACCCTAACAATTACTGCTAACCCTATCGATTGCAGCTAACCCTAACAATTACCGCTAACCCTAACGATTGCAGCTAACCCTAACAATTACTGCTAACCCTACCGATTGCAGCTAACCCTAACAATTACCGCTAACCCTAACGATTGCAGCTAACCCTAACAATTACCGCTAACCCTAACGATTGCAGCTAACCCTAACAATTACCGCTAACCCTACCGATTGCAGCTAACCCTAACAATTACTGCTAACCCTACCGATTGCAGCTAACCCTAACAATTACTGCTAACCCTAATGATTGCAGCTAACCCTAACAATTACCGCTAACCCTAACGATTGCAGCTAACCCTAACAATTACCGCTAACCCTAACGATTGCAGCTAACCCTAACAATTACTGCTAACCCTAACCGATTGCAGCTAACCCTAACAATTACCGCTAACCCTAACGATTGCAGCTAACCCTAACAATTACCGCTAACCCTAATGATTGCAGCTAACCCTAACAATTACCGCTAACCCTAACGATTGCAGCTAACCCTAACAATTACCGCTAACCCTAATGATTGCAGCTAACCCTAACAATTACCGCTAACCCTAACGATTGCAGCTAACCCTAACAATTACCGCTAACCCTAATGATTGCAGCTAACCCTAACAATTACCGCTAACCCTAATGATTGCAGCTAACCCTAACAATTACCGCTAACCCTAACGATTGCAGCTAACCCTAACAATTACCGCTAACCCTAATGATTGCAGCTAACCCTAACAATTACCGCTAACCCTAACGATTGCAGCTAACCCTAACAATTACCGCTAACCCTAACATTGCAGCTAACCCTAACAATTACCGCTAACCCTATCGATTGCAGCTAACCCTAACAGTTACCGCTAACCCTGATTGCAGCTAACCCTAACAATTACCGTTAACCCTAACGATTGCAGCTAACCCTAACAATTACTGCTAACCCTGATTGCAGCTAACCCTAACAATTACTGCTAACCCTAACCATTGCAGCTAACCCTAACAATTACCGCTAACCCTATCGATTGCAGCAAACCCTAACAATTACCGCTAACCCTGATTGCAGCTAACCCTAACAATTACCGCTAACCCTATCGATTGCAGCTAACCCTAACAATTACCGCTAACCCTATCGATTGCAGCTAACCCTAACAGTTACCGCTAACCCTGATTGCAGCTAACCCTAACAATTACCGCTAACCCTAACGATTGCAGCTAACCCTAACAATTACCGCTAACCCTATCGATTGCAGCTAACCCTAACAGTTACCGCTAACCCTATCGATTGCAGCTAACCCTAACAATTACCGCTAACCCTAACGATTGCAGCTAACCCTAACAATTACTGCTAACCCTACCGATTGCAGCTAACCCTAACAATTACCGCTAACCCTAACGATTGCAGCTAACCCTAACAATTACCGCTAACCCTAACGATTGCAGCTAACCCTAACAATTACCGCTAACCCTACCGATTGCAGCTAACCCTAACAATTACTGCTAACCCTAATGATTGCAGCTAACCCTAACAATTACCGCTAACCCTAACGATTGCAGCTAACCCTAACAATTACCGCTAACCCTAACGATTGCAGCTAACCCTAACAATTACTGCTAACCCTACCGATTGCAGCTAACCCTAACAATTACCGCTAACCCTAACGATTGCAGCTAACCCTAACAATTACCGCTAACCCTAATGATTGCAGCTAACCCTAACAATTACCGCTAACCCTAACGATTGCAGCTAACCCTAACAATTACCGCTAACCCTAATGATTGCAGCTAACCCTAACAATTACCGCTAACCCTAACGATTGCAGCTAACCCTAACAATTACCGCTAACCCTAATGATTGCAGCTAACCCTAACAATTACCGCTAACCCTAATGATTGCAGCTAACCCTAACAATTACCGCTAACCCTAACGATTGCAGCTAACCCTAACAATTACCGCTAACCCTAATGATTGCAGCTAACCCTAACAATTACCGCTAACCCTAACGATTGCAGCTAACCCTAACAATTACCGCTAACCCTAACAATTGCAGCTAACCCTAACAATTACCGCTAACCCTATCGATTGCAGCTAACCCTAACAGTTACCGCTAACCCTGATTGCAGCTAACCCTAACAATTACCGTTAACCCTAACGATTGCAGCTAACCCTAACAATTACTGCTAACCCTGATTGCAGCTAACCCTAACAATTACTGCTAACCCTAACCATTGCAGCTAACCCTAACAATTACCGCTAACCCTATCGATTGCAGCAAACCCCTAACAATTACCGCTAACCCTGATTGCAGCTAACCCTAACAATTACCGCTAACCCTATCGATTGCAGCTAACCCTAACAATTACCGCTAACCCTATCGATTGCAGCTAACCCTAACAGTTACCGCTAACCCTGATTGCAGCTAACCCTAACAATTACCGCTAACCCTAACGATTGCAGCTAACCCTAACAATTACCGCTAACCCTATCGATTGCAGCTAACCCTAACAGTTACCGCTAACCCTATCGATTGCAGCTAACCCTAACAGTTACCGCTAACCCTGATTGCAGCTAACCCTAACAATTACCGCTAACCCTATCGATTGCAGCTAACCCTAACAGTTACCGCTAACCCTGATTGCAGCTAACCCTAACAGTTACCGCTAACCCTAACGATTGCAGCTAACCCTAACAATTACCGCTAACCCTATCGATTGCAGCTAACCCTAACAGTTACCGCTAACCCTGATTGCAGCTAACCCTAACAATTACCGTTAACCCTAACGATTGCAGCTAACCCTAACAATTACTGCTAACCCTGATTGCAGCTAACCCTAACAATTACCGCTAACCCTATCGATTGCAGCAAACCCTAACAATTACCGCTAACCCTGATTGCAGCTAACCCTAACAATTACCGCTAACCCTGATTGCAGCTAACCCTAACAATTACCGCTAACCCTATCGATTGCAGCAAACCCTAACAATTACCGCTAACCCTGATTGCAGCTAACCCTAACAATTACCGCTAACCCTGATTGCAGCTAACCCTAACAATTACCGCTAACCCTAACCATTGCAGCTAACCCTAACAATTACCGCTAACCCTAACCATTGCAGCTAACCCTAACAATTACCGCTAACCCTAACCATTGCAGCTAACCCTAATGATTGCAGCTAACCCTAATGATTGCAGCTAACCCTATCGATTGCAGCTAACCCTAACAATTACCGCTAACCCTATCGATTGCAGCTAACCCTAACAATTACCGCTAACCCTAACCATTGCAGCTAACCCTAACAATTACCGCTAACCCTAATGATTGCAGCTAACCCTAACGATTGCAGCTAACCCTATCGATTGCAGCTAACCCTAACAATTACCGCTAACCCTAACCATTGCAGCTAACCCTAACAATTACTGCTAACCCTACCGATTGCAGCTAACCCTAACAATTACCGCTAACCCTAACGATTGCAGCTAACCCTAACAATTACCGCTAACCCTAATGATTGCAGCTAACCCTAACAATTACCGCTAACCCTAACCATTGCAGCTAACCCTAACAATTACCGCTAACCCTAATGATTGCAGCTAACCCTATCGATTGCAGCTAACCCTAACAATTACCGCTAACCCTAACCATTGCAGCTAACCCTAACAATTACCGCTAACCCTAATGATTGCAGCTAACCTTAACCATTGCAGCTAACCCTAACAATTACCGCTAACCCTAACGATTGCAGCTAACCCTAAGCCTAATGATTATTGCTAACCCTAACTCTAATGCTAACATTTAACCCTAACCCTATTATGTGACTTTGGACTCATAAAGGTTCCTTCACTACTTTGAGGTGACTTTAATGCTACTTTGACACTACTTGAGTGCCAGAGAAAGTGTAAAGTTGCATCAAACTTGCATCAAAGATGCACTACATGAACAAAACTGTCACACTCTTCTATTCGCCAAAAACCCCTGCAAAACGCATAAAAAAAATGTGTGTTCAAAAACACACCACAAAACGTGCAGGAAAAACGCATCAGCTGCAACCTGAATCTAGCCTTATACTTACAGTGCCTTGAAAAAGTATTCATCCCCCTTGAAATTTTCCACATTTTGTCATGTTACAACCAAAAACATAAATGTATTTTATTGGGATTTTATGTGATAGACCAACAC